TTAAAAGTTTATTTGACTCCTTGTGCTTTGTTACCTGTAACTACCAAAAAAAACCTTAAAATCCCAGACACATTATATGTTCTGTAAATCAGAACAACTAAATGAATTTATTTTTAATTACTTTCCTTAACCTGCACTAATTATGCACACATTATTATTGCAGAAACTGTAAACTGTATTTTTTTATAATAAATAAGCATTTATATATGGATATATATTACATCAAATTAAAGCCATTTCTGTCCTTTAAAAAACGGTATATAATATGTGTTGGTGCAATAAATTTGTAAAATTCAAATTGCAGTTGAACGCAAACAACAAAAAATTAAAAAGATGCAGTTGACATTAAGTGCAAGACAAGCTTCTGAAGCTCTGTCCTTAAGGGGTTAAGAAGCAGGAATATAAACATACAACAGAACCCTCTCCAAAGACTATGACCATCCTACAGTCTATTCACACAGAGATTAAAACGAATGGTTGATGATGCAGCTAGGCCTATGCTATTGAATAAGAGATTCTTCTTTAAAAAGGACAATAGAATAATGGATTAGCTCACTGCAACAGTTACTGTTTTCACAAAACATGGTGTATGTGGGAAGAATATGTACATCTGAATTGATTTGACATAAGTGAATAGAGTCGTTGAGTAATTTGACAATAGTGGCACCATCTCCCCTTGTCCCTTCCACTTTTTCTCTTTCTATTTGGTTTAATGTCATTACACCCCTGTGGGGTAATTTCTTTGTTCTGCAGGGACTGGAGAATATAAATCCTTTAATGTCTTGGTAACATACCTCCTCTCGGCCCGCTGTGTTCTGGCCCCGCTGGCTGTCCTGTCCCTCAACTTCCGCGGTGTGTGCCTTGTCTGCGGCTTCTTAAAAGGGAAGTACCATTTTTACCATTGAACTGGCACTCTATTTATTTCTATTTAATTACTGCCCTATCTGTCCTTCTGGCATTCTTGACCCTTAGCGTTTTTTCTTCTGTCTCCTATCCTGACCTTGGCTCGTCTGCCCATTTTGTTCTCATCTCTGTACTTTTGCACGTTACGTCTGGCCATTCAATGGTCCGGTAATACAGCTGGCTTTGTGTACCTTTTGAGCCCCTTAGTTTGCGTGTTGGAGAGGTTAACCTTGACACTCAGTTTTATATGTTGTGCCACACAGTCAGTTATGAAAGCTTACAAGAAGTAACATTTCATTGATTCCATCTCAATTATACATAGATTTGGCAGACCAATCCTTGTCAAAAGATATCCCTCTTCCTATACCACAGTATCATGCATATGACATGTGTTGGGCACTAAAGGGATCTGCTTTATTTTCCTTTTCCCAATGTTATTTATTGCTTTTGTCCTGATCTCTCTTCAGTGTTGTGGAATCTTCTTAACTCAAAAAACAAAAACAAAAAACAGTTTAAAAAGAACTCCATCCATTTTTAGTAAATCATATGTCCGATTTGATATTCACAGTAAACATTTGAAATTCATAGTAAAGACATTCAGCATATTCTGACTGGAAAATAAAAGATACCTCACATTAAAACTTCCCTGACAAAGTATGTCACACTTTTAATAGACTTCCATTAAAGGGAAAGAAAAATAGGAGGGGTGATCTAAAAGGATGGTGTATATTAAGCCAAATTAGTCTGGAACATGAATTAGAATTCAGAAGAGGGAGAAGGATAAAAAGAAAAAGGCAGCTAAAATGAATGAAAGTGTTTTGGATTTTCCTCCACCCCTTGTCTCAATATAAAACAAAGCAAGTGATATCTTTCCAAGAGGAGAGCATAAACTTTGAGGGTGGAACAAACAGACATACAATAATTACAAGAAACCAAAAGTCCAGTGGATAAAATATATATTATGCAAGATTTTATGCAGAAATGTTTTGACACCCACTTTAATACACATATGTCTGTAATAATAAAAAACCCAGAAGACTTATACAAAGAATATAAATTAACACAAAACAATGGTACAAGAAATGGAGGATAAGATCACTGTATTGGAAATACAGTGTGTATCAATGACTAATACTGTAGTCAAAGGCTCACAAAGAATGTATAAGATATAAAAGAAAATTAGAGACATGTAAGACAGATTCAGGAGATCAAATTTATGTACAATAAACATTCCTGAAAAAAAGTTTACAAGAACAATTGCAGGATTTCTTGACAGACTATGTCAAAGCTTTGGGCATTACAATTGATAATCCAGCTATAGCTTTTGACAGATATCATTGAATATTTAAACCTAAATGGATTGTGGAAATCACCATGAGGAATGTAATTGTAAACTTTAATTCCTTTCAACTTAAATATAGAGTCTAAAACCCCCCAAGAGATACTAAAATGCATACTTTTAAATTTTACATAACAGTTATATTTTCTTCTAACTACAATGTAAATAATTTCCATAAAACCTTATATGTTAGTCTCTAAATGTTAGCCTCTATGTGTTTTTATTATATGATTTTTTTTAAAACATACACCGGATGTAAGCAAGGTTTTCTTGGGCAAGTTTCACAGAAATAGTGTCTCATCTTTGACCTTTAATTTTTCTGTTGCTACATACTGCGCAATCTTTGTTACTGTTCTTTCATTTTTCATCATGAAGTGGAGTTTACCATTTAGCCCGTCTTCAGTGTGTTGTGTTGATGGCTTTCTCCGTTTTCGTGAATTGTCATTTTGAACTTGCCCAATGAGCTGCTCAGTCAATGCCATTTCAGATGTTTTGTGAGAAACCACGTTCAAGTTTCTCTGTTTTCGGTTTTGATTATATAGCATAAAGCTGTTTGCTATTGCAACTTCAAGCAGCCAAAAGAACATTTTACTCCACCATTTCACCGACTTTCACAGATAGGCATAACTTCTATAGTAGTGTTTTTTTAATGTCCACATCACCCATGTATTTGGTATATACTGTTATATTCACACCAGGTATAAATAGTTCACTGCGTTTTGTGTGTATGTAGTCTGCCACATTTTTTATTTTACTCCCTGTAGGTCTAACCATCATTGGCTGCTGCTGTGGTGGAGGGCACAAATGGAGCATCCAGAAAATTTGTAAAAATCTATTTCTAGAAAACAATTCTGTGATTCTTTCAACTCTGATTTAGTATTTAGAGCCATATTCATTATAACACCCATAACTGCTTTTATTTTAATCAAATTCACCTCCTTTGAAGTATTCCAAATGGAATATTGAAGAAGATGAGTGCATTTTTGTATTTTTTCTATCACAAATCTGTTTGTTTCAGGGACAATTTGATTCAGTAGCTGGTTAGTAAAAAACTGACAAAAAATTGATTTCCTTTTCCTACATATCAATTGGGATTTGAATTCCTGGTTTGTGAACTTTAAAAAGGGTGTCTTGGGAAATTAAGACCAATACTAAGGTACTTTTCCTAATTATTTATTTAATTTTCAGCAGGTAGGTCTTTATCTTCAACATTTTTATTTTCATCCACAACATTTTTATCACTGAAGTTTTTATCTTCCAAATCACTTGAATCAGAATTACTGGGATTACAATCATCTTCATTACTAAAATCATAGTCAGAATGACCCTGTTCTAATATTCTGGCTAATTCTTCCTCAGAATAAAACTTTTCCACATGCCAAATCTTGGGGGAACTAACTTTGGTTAAGTTTGGTTCTTTATTCTGAAAGCTATATCTGGAACCAGAAAAAAGGGTGAGAAGAGACTATTTTTGGGTGGGTGCAAATAAGAAGCTTAGTTTCTCATTATAAACAAGAGCTCTGCCCAATCATGTGAGCTGAATTTTCTGTCCAATCAAGAGGTAGGACGATAAGAAATGATTGAAGGTTACGGGACAGTATATGCTGATTTTATTATCAGATCAAGTGAAGTGACGAATAAAGTGGGAAAAAAAGGATTAACAAAACATTGAATTTAGGTACAGAAAGAGACAGACCAGCAATGATCCTATATGTTTACAATTGTAATGATTGTGTTGGAGTGGGAAATAGACTGTGTAATTGACTATTAATCAGCTGGTAGAAAATCTCATGGATATTTGAATTGGCATCCAGGTATAACCTGTTTTAGTAACTACTGCAGGTTCACCACCATCTAGTAAATTGATATGCACATTTTTATATTGTGCTAAAATGACTTCTCTATGACTGCTTTTTTTTGACAAAAATACTGCTTTGTATGAGAATGAATACATACGAAGAGCACACAAATGTAGCATGTTGACACACACATATACACACTTTAATACTATTTTTTTTTTTTTATTCTTTATTTTTGTTGTGTGGGTGGGTACAGGGTATCAACAGATGCCACAACAGCGTATTGCAAGATTTATACATGTTAGACAGTGGCATGAAGATTCGCACATTTTTTGTGTTTTTATCCAGCTTAACTAAACGATTGTATTGCCATAGTAAAAGTAAATGAAGCAAGTGAAAACAATTTATGCTTGACCATGCTAGATTAGTTGTATTGGTGTAATTAGATCTATATGCTGAGTTACATGCTAGTTGAGTCATTATTGTAGTCGCTTATGTAGATGCTATGTGATTGCACATTTAGCTTATCCCAGCTATACTTGTTTAAGTGTAAATATTGGTTGTTTGGTTACCTGCTGTACGGACAGGAATAATTATGAATACCCTACATTTGCATAGAACATTAGCTTATCACAGTTGCATCGAGCATTTGCTTATAACAATTGCATATAACGTTTTCATATAATATTTGCATATAACATTTGTGAGAGAGTTAGTAATAAAACGAAGTGGGGTATTCAGCTTGGGTGCGGGGTCATGTGTGTGATTACAGACTGATCTGCGAAGAGGGTGAGAAGGGGAAATCAGCGCCATTGTGGGCGCTCCGAGTTTGGGCCATCGGTTTGAACCCAAAGTAAGTTCCGCTCTGTCCATCAGGATGGGGGCTGACAGGATAAAGTAGGAACTGCTGACTGTCCCCAGTGAGGCATGCCCACTTATGAGGCATAGAGGTAGTCCCTTCAGCCGATGCCCTGTGCATTGACGTGTCTCTTGCCATTGGTGTTTGTCTCTGCAGAGGCGCCCCTGGACCGGGACTCAGCTCCAGTGGCATTTAGCAGAGTGTGCAGCTTTGCGGCTCCCCAATTTGACTGTGACTTGGAGGGATGGAGACGAGCTGTGCCGTGCACCGGTTCCCGGGTCGGTGAGTGGCTTGCGTAGAAGCCTGGTTTGGTGGTTTCCCTCTCATGGATGTGGGGGCAAGCATGTGGCTTGTTACAGGAGCCGCTGCAGGTCTCCGCCTTCAAGCAATTCCCAAGCTCGCTTGTGTGCTGCTCGGTGTCCATGCCATATTGTGTGCTGGTTAGGTGTTGGTCGGCCATCTTGGGGCACACCGTCCGGGTCGCAATGCTCGGCAGGACTGGAGTGGAGGTCCGGGATGACCCCCCCGGTCCAGACGAGGGTGGGGAGGGTGGGGAGGGTGGCAGAGCGCCGGTCGGTGAACCGGGTGAGCGGCTGTCTCACCCAGGCTGAAGCTTGTAGGCCTCAGGCCTCTACCGTGTTACTTTGGTGCCGCTGGGTGTCTTGTTGGGTGTCACCTGAATCCCCATCTCCTGAGTAATGCTGTAATCACAATTTTAGGTCGGAGTCTGCTTGTGGCCCGCAGTTAGCTCCGATATTCGAGCTCAGAAGCAGGAGCTCAGACGAAACACGTCTGATCCAACCGGCGGTCAGGCCCCGCCCCCTTGAGTACTATTTTAAGATAAGAAAAACATGAAAATAAAATGAGTATAATTCTAGCATCTATTGTAAAAGATAATCATATATCTGGCAATTGATAGCTACTAATGTAAATACTTTTCTGTTACCAGGGACAGCTTTTGTAATAGAATCCAGAGCAAGGGGTGAAGTTTGATATCCTTGCTTTAGTAGATTTACAAGAAATACTTTCCACCAATGATGCCTACAGCAAGAGTAAATTGTATATAGAGGTGCTGCCCATTTCAAGAGGGATTAAAATATTGACCTATCAGTGTTTCCCAATTGGTGTTCCGTGAGAACACGAATGAGGTTACGCGGTAATTTCAGCAAACAAAATGGCCACCGCGATTTGGCCCAGTTGGGTGCTGCTGATCATTTAGTCGGGTGGCGAGTGAGCACTCTCCCTTGCTCAGCTGCTTCACACGCACCACAGTGATACCGGAGCCGGAATATGATGTCACTCCGGTCCTGGCATCACTAAGAGGTGCGCAACGGAGCTGAGCAGGTAGATCATTGCTCCCTCGCCGCTACCAAACTGTACACCTGCATGCCAGCCACTCAACCCAGCAGCCCCACTGGACCCCAGGGACTGCACACCAGCCCTTCCGCCCAAGAGCCCCATTGGACCACAGGGTTTGCACATCAGCCACTCAACCCAGCAGCCCCACTGGGTGCCAGAGACCGCACGCCAGCCGCTCAACTCAGCAGCCCCACTGGATGCCAGGGACCGCACGCCAGCCGCTCAACTCAGCAGCCCCACTGGACCCCAGGGAAATAGAGACTCTATGCCAGCACTCCCAAAGGTAGGGAGGCTGGGTGGAGTGAAATGTAAAAAAATAAATTGTGTGTGTGTCTGTTGAGTTTTTATGTGTATTTGTCATATTGTGTATTATTGTGTATTATTGTGTGTTTATGTGTGTTTATCACTGAGAGTGTATGTGTGTTTGTCAGGGAGAGTGTATGTGTGTTTGTCAGTGAGAATGTATGTGTGCTTGTCAGTAGGAGTGTATGTGTTTGTATTTGTGTCTGTCAAAGGGTATGTGTGTTTGTCGGTGACAGTGTATGTGTGTCTGTCAAAGAGTATGTTTGTTTGAGTGCATGTCAGTATGTGTATCTGTGTGTCAAGCTGTGTGTGTATTGGTTTGTGTGTATGTGACAGTGTGTATCTGTGTGTTAAGGTCTGTGCATGTGTCAAGGTGTGTGTGTATATGTCAGTGTGCATATGAATGTGTGTATGTGTCAATGTTTGTATATGTGTGTCTCTGTGTTAATTTGCTTTTGTATGTATGTGAGCAATACAGCAATCATATGTGCATACATCCGAGCAATTAAACTCCATCCCAGCAATCAAACACGTATATGTGCATACATAGTTACATAGCTGAAAAGAGACTTGCATCCATCAAGTTCAGCCTTCATCACATGTTTTTTGCTGTTGATCCAAAAGAAGGCAAAAAAACCCAGTTTGAAGCACTTCCAATTTTGCAACAAGCTAGGAAAAAGAATCCTCCTTGACCCCAGAATGGCAGTAAGATTTATCCTTGGATCAAGCAGCTATTACCCTACATTTAAAAATTATATCTTTGAATATTCTGTTTTTGCAAGTAGTACATTCCAGCAATCAAACACCAACACAACATGCAAACACACTCCTGCAAACACAAACATTACACACAAAAACCCCAGGATTCAAAATTCAAATTTATATACAAACACTTAAACACACCCTTCACTCAAACACTAATACAAAGACAAGACAAGTCATCCTCTTGGTCTACTCATCTGGGGTAGTGGAGCAATCTCACGGGGGGCACAGTTCCTGGTCAACCTATGCCCACAGGTTGATCAGAAGCTCTCTTCAGCAAGAAGAGCTCAGGCAGAGGCCATAGAAGCTTCGAGGTTAGCCAACACCATGTTGTGGGAACATAGACCCCAGCCAAGATAGTCCCGTTATCAGGCCCCGTAGCACACCGAGTTGAAGGTAGAGGGCAGGATCATGCAAGTGAGGTATCACAGTGGACCAACACTTATTATCCAGATCACAGGCTGCCATGTTTAACTTCCATACCTGACCAGGATTTGCCCCATGTAAATTCAGCCACTACTATCGGGTATATTTAGAATAAAGTGGATGTCTCGTGAAAGGAAGGCAGTTTGAGAGTCTCTTGCGGCAAGCAATCTCTCAACCAGTGATTTTTGTAGATTGCTGTGAACCCAGTGTTAGCGGTTGCATCTGTCTAAAAGACTGGGGATTGGTCGGATGCTGGAGGAATGAACATCGAGATCCCATTTCAATGCTTGAGGAACTCTTGCCTCATGATCAGGTCTGCCCTAGCCAGAGGATCTAAATGAACAGTACTGCCATCGGGCAGACCTGGTAATAGGCGTAGCAGTTTAGATATAAATGATCTCCCCTGCGGGATAATACGCATGGCAAAGTTTAATGATCCTAACAATGATTGTAGATCTTTCCGTGTGCAAGTCCCTAGTTTTAGGAACTTGTCCACGTCTTCGCGAATGTGTAGGAGTTTATCCTCAGGGAGACTTGACTGCATGGAATGGAGTCCAGCGTGATACCTAGGAAATTAAGTATGGTGGTGGGTTCAGTTGTTTTGTCTTGTGAAAGTGGAATGCCTAGAGTTGCAAATAGTGCTGTAGTGCTTTTTAAGCTAAGAGGAGTGCTACTGCTACCTTCCACCATTAAAAAGTCGTCTAGATAATGTATCACCGTGGGGCACCTAGTGATGTTAAGGAGAAGCCAGCAAAGAGTCTTGGCAAATGTGTCAAAGATGTTTGGGCTACTTTTTGCACCGAAAGTGAGTCTTGTAGCAAAGTAATATTTCTCTCTTCACTTACCCCCATGAACATGCCATAATGAGGGATGATTGGTAGAAACTTGAAAGCATTGGTGATATCGGTCTTGCTAAGCCATGCAGCTTTACCAGCCTTCAGGATTGCCTGTATAGCATTATCCACACTGGTATAGTGTAGAGAGAATTCAGTGGATTGTATGAGGAAGGTTAGGCTTGGGCTTGTAGATGAATGAGGAGCCGACAGGTCAATGATTAGACTTTTTTTATTTGAGTATTTGCTAGTGGCGACCCCCATCGGATTTGTGCGCCCAAAAGAGAAAAGGGGGGGGAGGGGCCTAGCATACAACCATTTTGATTGAACTTCTTTCCCAATGAGATCATCAATTGTTAGTGGTTCATGTACAGCGTATAGGAGGTTGGGACATTCTAAAGTACCTACGGGGAGTGACACTAGCCCAGTGTGGAAACCTTGTGAAAACCAGTGAATTACGTATTCCACCAAGTAAGGGGAAGGGGGAGTTTTCAAGTAGAATGCCAATTTTCCTATGTTCACCTCAGTGAGTCATTGTTTGGGGTTCGATTTTGTATGATTTTGTATGAACTGAACACACGTGCAGTAATCTGCAGGCATTGAAACTACACACTCCTGCATTAAAATTATTGCAGACTTGCGCCTTGCCCAGGTAAAAAATGGGTCGCCCAAGCTGATCTTTGAAGCCACGCTGGTCAGGCTTGCTAGACTTAACTGGGTAAATCGTGTATGTGGAGGGGTCAGCTTCGGAGGGGCACAAATTGGTGGTATGGGAGGTGGATGAGCAGACCGCACAAGACTGGGGAACCAAGCCTGCGAAATGTGTGCAAAAGAGTTCTGTGTCCAACTGGCTCCAGTCAGTATTGATGTTAAACTGGGCCAGGGCTGCTGCTGCTTTTGCTGACACGGACTTATGGTAATCATAAAACATAAAATCCCTGTACTTGTGGCCCAAGTCCACCAATTTGTGCGTGTATAAGTCAAGTTCTTCCCGGCGTTGTGGATACACATAGCATATAATGTCCCTATATAGACTGAAGGCTAGGACAAACTCGAGGATGGTGAGTTTTTTGCTTAGTTGTGGGTCTCTAACCTTCATTATGACAGCTATGTCACTGTAATTGTACTAGATTTACGTCTTTCCCATCTAGAATATCCTTGCGGAGAGCTGTGGGGACCGGGATAATTATGTGGGTGGAGGGGGGGTGAAAGGTGAGGCAGGAATCCAACCCTGCATGTTGGGAGGTACGAGTGCTTGTGTCGATCCTACTGGAGGTGGAACTATCTGAGCCAGGCTGGCATTTTCCAATTTTGTCAGTCTATCGTTTATGGACTGCAGAGATGACAAAATGTTGTCTAGAGTTCCTTGAATATTTGAGTTGTGCCCCTGTGAGCTGGTTCCCAACCAAGGATCCTCAGGATGAGCTGTCAGCAGCTTTCCTTGCTGTGGCTGGGAAGGGGATGCCCCGTGTGGTGGAACCAGCCTCGCCACTGGGCATTGGAGAAGACGATTGCCAGCCTCCTGCCATGTGACTATGGCCCCTGGGATGTATTGCCTGCTCTCCTGTACTGCTGAGGTTTGCTACCAACTAGGTGGATTTGGCTATGGAGCTTGTCTAGTGCCCTCTGTTGGTAGCAACAGCAATATGCACTACCTGAATAGCAAGACTGGTTCATTTGCATATTCGGGTAGATTTGCATATTGCTAATTCTGCAGGCACGTGAGATATTTTCTATTAATTATTGTCTCCCCCACCTCTTTAAAAATATGCCATTG